GTGTGTGTGTGTGTGTGTGTGTGTGTGTGTGTGTGTGTGTGTGTGTGCGCGCGTGCAAAAATAGCCGACAGAGGCTGAAACTGTTTTGATCAGAGAAAAGAGAGATGGAGATGAAAAGGCTCTCATCCTAGCAGAGAGGTAGCAGCAAGGCTCTATTGGGAGGGAAGAGACCCAGACTGACAGAGAGATTAAAAACAGGCAAGATCTGGAAGACGCGGGCAGAGACAGTTTTTGGCTGAACAAATAATTGCAGATGGATTTCTTTCGTCAATGCTCTTTAACGCTTTTTATCTTCTGCTTCTTTCCTCTTCCTCAATCTATTTTTGACAGATATGTGTCACAAAGATGTCCACACGCAGCTGCCAGGGATCGGACTCGGTCATCAAGCCCCTGGACACCATCCCTGAGGACAAGAAGGTGAGGGTGCAGCGCACGCAGAGCGGCTTTGACCCGTTCGAGAAGCCTGTCAGCCAGGTGAAGAGGGTCCACTCTGAGAACAATGCCTGCATCAATGCCAAGGGCTCATCCACCGGCAAGGAGTCGCCCAAACTGCGCCGCCACTCCAGCCCTAGCTCTGTAAGTACACCCTTCACACCCAGGAGGAGCATATTGCAACATGTATCTGTTGGGAACGAAAATGGAGCGTGTTTGGTTATCAGCAAATATTAACATCAATAAGTTAATTAGTAATTACTAATAAGAACAGGGCACCACCCTGCGGACAGGGTCCAATAACCAAACTATAAACTAAGTCTCATGATTAGTGTTCACTCACAATGTCAACAGTCTGAATACTATTACACATTCGGAGTGAGTGAATACCTCTGAATACCTAAAGTCAAATGAACAAACATGGGGTGAGGATATGTGTGTGTGTGTGTGTGTGTGTGTGTGTGTGTGTGTGTGTGTGTGTGTGTGTGTGCGTGTGTGTGAGAGAGTGTGAGAAAGAGGAGGGAACTACTCAGACAGTGGTGGGGGCAATCTCAAACGGGGCGTGTGGGCCTACAAGCAAAGATGGCGACAAAACTAGAACTACGACAAAATGGCTGAGAGGTGGCTACGTATGTAACCACGTGGGACGACGCACAATGTGGGTTGGGACAATAGATTACGTAACCATGGGTCTGAGATGGTCAACAAAAATCAGTGAATCTAACCATGTGTGTGCAGGTGAGTAGGAAGCGAGGGAGAGAGAGAGAGAGAGAGAAAACCGAGCTCTGCGTGCGGTGCTCGGCGTCGCAGTAAGATGTGAGAACAGCTGATCTATCACGCAAAACTCTGCGGTCGGGTTCTGAACCGACCGGTCACGCTTGTACGGTGATAGTTACGGTTCTAAATCTCACTCACAGAGCCGATTTACAGAAGAGAGAATAAAACCGAAACAAAATAAAAAGAATCCCCAAAACAAAACAGACCTTTATCACTGCGGTGAAATACGAGTATTGCTTTCTTATCACCCCGAAACTCGGTCGGCGAAACGAGGGTCGGCCACCGTGGTTTTAGTTTTTAAAGTAATAAAATCACAAACTCCACATCCACTAGCAGTGACGGATCTAATGCAAACACAGTTACAGCAGGAAATACACAATATAACGGGACTCCGCGGTCCGTGATGCTTGCAATAACACGTTCTAAACGCTACAGTAACTTAACAAAGCAAGATAAAGGAATAACAATTAAATAACCTAAACTAAGCCCAGATACAAAGATAACTCTTACTGTGAGAAGCTTCTTTTCGATGGGATCGGTTTCCAGTGGTGGGAAACACGCTGCTTTAAGCGTGGCGCAGAATCAACCTCACTCGCTGCAGAGAGGAGGGAAAACTTCGGCTGAGAGAAACGGGAAGGGCTCGTCCGTTTGCCGGCAATGTGTACACTAAAGGTGGGAGAACGGGTCGTAGAAGTTATCTGTTCTCGCACTACAGGATCCAAAAACAAAAATATAAAAAACAACACAGTCTATGTTTGACCAGCGAATGTAACGTGTGACCTGATAGGATTTGATGAGGCAAGCGCTTCCTTGTGAACCTCCTTTCACCACTGCAAGTCCGGACGGAAGAGGAAGATTTGAGCTTCGCGCTCGCTTATAAACCCAGGTAGTACAACCAGTGGGGGGTCCCTTCTTGGCCAATGAGGGCCCCCCCCCCCCCCCCCCAGTTCTGGCTGGAGCTGGGAGGTGTGGTCATCCTTCTTGGAGCTTGGCCCCATCAGACCCCAGATCAGGCTTTTGTTGAAAGGAAGGAACATGGATGCTTCTTTGTTTGAAAAACACATGTGAGGGTCTTAGCCAGCCATGAGGCCAAAGTCAGATTCCAACATATCAATACACCAGTTAGCCTTATCTCTGTTTGTGACCCTCACTGAATTTTTGTAACACTTGGTTGTCACAATCCAAAATCCTACACCAGTCAGAGTAGCAAGACAATATCCTGGTTACAAATTATAGTAAAGACAATGAAGCCAAATCAAGTCCAATTGTATTTATGTTGCCAAATATCAAACCACAAATTTGCCTCAAGAGGATTTACAATCGGTACAGCATTTGACGTCTTCTGTCCTGAGATCATCAATTCAGATAATGAAACACTCCCTAAAAGGAAAAAGCAACTGGGCTCAGGTAAAGTAACAGAGAAGTGATCCCTTTCCCCGGATTGACAGACATGCAATGGATGTTGTGTGTACAGAATCGACCAACATCGTAAAATTACAGTATGAACCATCAGGATGACAGAATTATAGATTGTACACATATATAGAGTGGATCTGGAGGTGACGCCAAACAGATAGAACCTGAGTCACACGACCTCCTCTCCACCAGGGAGACCTGTAAGAGGACCATAGACTGTAAATAAGAAGAGCACCTAGTCACTGCGATGTCACCCATTGGTTTGTGGACTGCCAATTTGAAGCCTTGAGTTCGGTATTTTAGCTGTTGCCATCTTGGTTTTTGGCTGTCGTCACCTTGAAGTTGTGGCAGGATCAAAACCCCAAAGCTGTTTTTTTTTTTTTTTTTGCTGGCTTAATGCCAGTTGCTACAGCTAACCGCTACCTGAAGGTCCGTCTCCAGTTAACACCGCCCCCTCTCCTCCGAGCTAAGTGGTTTCCTGGTGGAGGGAGAGACGAAACTACAATTTGAGTAATTTTCTCATTTCTGCCACTGAAACAAACTATCTAAACATACACAGTCCCTGTCAAATTGATTGAAAAACCCTCCAGGCAGCTCTACAGACAGGACGCTACAGTGACTCAGTGTTGCCCCTCAAGGTGCAAGTGGTATTAAAAACAGATTTTTGCATTCATATACAGTGGTACAAGATTTTGGTATTGGAAGCGTTCTGGTTGTCGTTTGTAGTCCGAATGGTATTGACCCATTATGTCCGAGTAGGTTTTGGTTGAATGCAGGTTAACAGTTCGTGTGAAGAGCAAAAGAGCCAGAACCCTGTTGGCCAAATCCTCATCTGAGGACGATTGTCTATTTTAATGGTTTCAAATTAGCTTGTTAACTGGCTAATAGTAAAATGATCCAGTTGTACACGTCTCTCAACTCTAGTCTTGCATCTTAAGTTGCTAATTGGACTGTAATCAATGAGCATTGCATGGCACTGTAACAAGTGTTCTGTAAGGGACACAGAGTCACAGTGTCTGGCTGTTATTCACCATGAAATATCACAATATGTAACCCACAAAAAATAAAAGCAGAGATAACACGAACAATCGCATGAAAAGCCACCACCACCACCAATGGTGCTGATGATACAGTATCTGGTGGGTAGTCACCTCTGTTTAAGTTGATAAACAGTGGGTGAGAAAGCAGTCAACAGTTGTGCCAGCGTTACCACGGAAACACAGCTTGTAGTTCTGAGAGAGGATGGGGTAGAGGTGGTCATTTTTTCCTTTTGCTCATAATTAGTCATTTTTGTGGAACGTTTTTAACTCGTTAGACTAGTTTGATAGTAACTCAATAGAACATTAAGTCAGGTGTACAGCAGAGCTTCCCTTCAAAATAGTTAGTGAAGTATTAACATGTAGCATTAACAAAGAAGCAGAGGAAGTGTTGAATCAGTAAACTGGGCCTTGATCATGAATTGATTCTAATGTTGCATTTTACTGTAATTTCATGGTAATGTTATTGGCAGTACCGTGTTTTTCATGGTGGTCGCAAAGTTGACGCAGACACTGTGACATCATTAATTGATTTGTAAACTACGGTTTTGAAGCCTTGACTTCGACATTTTGGCCATCCCTATCTTGGTTTTTCGCAACCAGATAACGAGAGGCTGGACTTAAGTAAGACAGAATGCTGAATAATCTTTAGGCGACCAAAATGTGACAATTAACTTTCATGAACTGAAAACACACGATGAAAGGGTAAAAGATGTAATGCAAAACACAGACAACTCCCAAACTGGACAACACCATGGTAGTGACCTGTCAATTACAAGGTAGCCCCGCCCTAAACACACCCTGCTTTATGGTCTATTTGACTCTAAATGGACCATAATTTACTAAATGAACGTCATGCTGTATTGAAGAAGACTTGAAACTAGAGATTGAGACCATAAACTCATGTTTACAATGTTTACTGAGGTAATACATCAAGAGAGAAGTAGAGTCATTTTGTCATAGACTTCTATACAACCAGAGGAGTCGCCCCCTGATGGACATTAGAGAGAATGCAAGTTTAAGGCACTTACATTACAGTCATTTAGCAGACGCTATCCAAAGCGACTTACAATAAGTGTATTCAACATAGGTATTCAAGATAACTACTATCACCAGAAGTCATAAGTGCATCTCCTTTTTTAAACAAGCATCTAAGAGCATAAACCAGAGCAAGAGTACAGTGCAGAAACAAACAAATACAATAAGTGCAACAAACTAATATGAATACAATGAGTGCTGAGTGGAAGGCTCAGGGTAGTACTTCTTGAAAAGGTGAGTTTTCAGCCTGCTGTCCTGACGTCAGTGGGGAGTTCATTCCACCATTGTGGGGCCAGGACAGAAAAAAGCCGTGACCGGGTCGATCGGCCACAGTGACCTCTGAGCGACGGGGCGACCAGGCGACCAATCGCCCCGAGGAAGCAGAGTGAAGTGGTCGGGCGGGGGTGTACGGCGGGGGTGTAGGGTTTGACCATGGCCTGGAGATAGGAAGGAGTTGTTCCTTTCACTGCCCTGTAGGCTAGCACCAGAGTCTTAAACTGGATGTGAGCTCTGACAGGGAGCCAGTGTAGAGAACGGACAAGGGAAGTTCTGTGGGAGAACTTGGGGCGATTGAACACCAGGCGAACTGCAGCTTTCTGGACAAGCTCCAGAGGTCTGATGGCCGACACCGGGGCTCCGGCAAGTAGTGAGTTGCAGTAGTCCAAGCGGGAGATGACAAGATCTTGGATGTGCACCTGCGCCGTCTTGTCAGTGGGGAAGGGGTGAATCCTCCTGATGTTGTAGAGCAGGAATCTGCAGGAGCGTGTAACCGATGCAATGTTTGCTGAGAGTGACAGTTGGTCATCGGGGGTCACACCCAGATTCCTCGCAGTCCGAGTTGGCGTCACCACGGTATCATCAATGGTGATGGACAGGTCTCGGTGCGGGCAACCCTTCCCCGGGAGGAACAGTAGCTCGGTTTTGTCCAGGTTGAGCTTCAGGTGGTGTGTC